CCTCTGGTTCTTCAGACTCACGTCCCTACTTCTTGTGTCCTGACGTGGCTCCAGTTCTCGAGACTCGCGCTGGATCCTCACGTCAGCTTCTGCTGCTGCTACTGCAATATCTCGTGTCCTTTCCTACCTCACGGACTCACGTTGTCTCCTTCCATCGTCTTCGGGCTCATCTGCTTCAAAGTCACGTCTCTCGCGTGTCTCTCTCTGGTTGCTCGTGGCCCCTCGCTCTTCCCTGTCTCTTGTTTGGCGGCTGCGGCGCTCGTAGACATCCAGCTCCCGTTGACGATCGCTGCTCCGCTCCCACAGTTGCTCTTCCCTCTCTCTTCCCCGGCCAAGCCTCCTCTCATCCTCTGGTTCTTCAGACTCACAAGGACGGTCCCTACTTTTTGTGTCCTGACGTGGCTCCAGTTCTCGAGACTCGCGCTGGATCCTCACGTCAGCTTCTGCTGCTGCTACTGCAATATCTCGTGTCCTTTTGTACCTCACGGACTCACGTTGTCTCCTTCCATCGTCTTCAGGTTCGTCTGCTTGAAAGTCACGTCTCTCGCGTGTCTCTCTCTGGTTGCTCGTGGCACCTCGCTCTTCCCTGTCTCTTGTTTGGCGGCTGCGGCGCTCGTAGACCTGCAGGTCCCTTTGAGGATCGATCCTCCTCTCCTTTACCGCATCATTCCTCCTTGCACGTTCTCGTTCTTTCCACTCCTGATTCTGGCGTATGTCTATCTGACTTTCTTGATATTCCACCTTGTAATCCTGATTCTTCTCATCTTTATAGAGAGCTCTTTTTCGATCATAGGTTTCATAGTACCTGTGGTCAAGTTCTAGCGGTTCCTGCATGTATGACTGATGTGGGCGCCTTGACTCCAGGCACTCAGACTGACATGGCTGGTGGCTGCTGTTTTCAGGCTGACGTCTTCTTTGGCTGCTCCGTTGGTCGTGTGGCTCTTGGCTTTGTTCTTCGTGCACCTGAGGGACTGTCTCCCCTGGCTCGCTGCTTCGTTTTACGTCATTTCTGCTTTGTCTGTTACGTTGCTGGTCGTGACTCCTCGTTTCCTCTTGTGTTTCAAACTCGACTCTGGTGTCTCGTTGCAGCCTAGTTTCACGGTGGGGATGATGATTACTTTCACAGGTTTGTTGTTCCTCCTCCTGGAGCTGCTGATGTTTCCCTCTGTTCTTAATTTCAGGTTCTTGGAGTGACTTGACAGTGGTTGTCAGCTTCGTTCTTTGATGAAGGCCCGGTCCCTTTGGAAGGTACCAGTAGCAGGCCTGAGCCACTCTGAACCCCAAAAGCAGGAACTCATTAAAATCTATTTTCCCATCACCATCCCACTCCAGAAATTGCAGAATCTTGTCAATTGTCTGAGGATCACGTGGCTTCTGCAGGGAAAACACACACATGGAAACAAAAAGCAGATTTTAGCCTTTCTGCTCCTTGTCAGAGAGATGCAAAGACAGGGACAATTGCAATCTTTTCTCCTTCCATCTCTCACATCTTCGCTTTTATAACTCAGCACCAACTTCATGTCTTTGTTCTCCATTGTCCTCATTGTTCCCTGGCTGCAGCTAACCGGCTCTCTTCTCTTTGGGTTATGCAATATCCCACTACTGGATGCATTTTCTTCCTACCTTTGAAAGAAGACCATACCTCCCCACGGTTCATTCTCCAGCTTTTGCCCATTTGCTCACGACAAAATATTTTGGATGAGCTGTCAAAGCAGTCGATGCAAAGGAATGCAACTGCTGCTCCCCTTTGGTGAAAGCCTCCCCATCCAGAAGGAGATCCCCTCTCCAGAAGGAGATTTTGCAGTCCGTGCACTCCAGTCTTCACCTCAAGCCCTCCCCCTTGCAGCAGTACTCACAGCTATGACATCTGCAAACTCCCTCTGGATGAACTCTTTCATCTTCCTTCGGCTGAGGTTGGAGCTGTCTCCATCTTCCTTTGCGTATTCGTGAAAGAGGCTGATAATGGTGGAAATGCTGTCTAAGAAGCGAGACATCTTCTTGCAGATTCAAGCAAGCCTGCAAGAAAAGGAGCAGACCTAAGGACGGGAGATTTGCTTGTGTCAGCCCCTGTGCTATGGCGAGCTCCGTTTCACCACAGCACTGGGAAGAAATTCAAGTGCTTAGGGGTTTTAGTGGGATGGGGAGTGTCCTCCAACTTGTCTACTGACGTATTGGAATGACGTTTGATAGGGGATGGCAGGATGCCTGCGTTTGTGGATGGCAGGGAGGGGACTGAGGGTGGTGACTCAAGAGATGCCCCAAGAACCGGTCCCCATGGGGCTTGTCATGGAATGACACAGTATCCGACCAATAGAGGTCAGTTCAATAAAAGTCAGGAGCAATTCGACCAGTCTACCAGTTTCCCAAGAAAGACTAGACCCTTGCATCCAACCCGTCTGCCCACCCTGGACAGCCCACTAAGTTGGAGGGTGTTTGCCTGACCTATTCAGGGACCTCGCTGGCAGCTCAATGGGTCATCCTTCCTTATATTAAAGTTTCCGGAAACATATTAAAACAACAAATTTTAATACTGATGCTCATGACGGGATACAGATTCAAAGACAGCCAATGATAGGGACTGACTGCGAAAATAGATTTGATTTAGAACAATATAAGCTACAACTGATCAGTGATAATACTCAGTAGCTGCAAAATGTTGGTAAGAAAATGCGCATAACACAGAGCTCTCACCCAACAGGCGTCCCAACTGGGGGGGCCGGAAGAGAAGTCCAGCCCGTCGACTGATCCCAGACGTTTCAATGGAAGTCTTCGCCCCTAACATCCCCCTTCTCTTTAACCATTTTATACAATTTCTCTACTTTTAGGTGGAGCTTGGGTGACTCTAGTCATACGTATTACAATGACATTATAATGAGCAAAGTTCAGCTTCAGGGCACGATCCAACCGTTGTGGTTGAGGAGGCAGTTGCAGTCCATCTTTCTTGACAGCAGCTGTGCTGTTATCTTCTGATAACAGGGACGAGCCGTGGTACCTTCGCACCACTCTGGTCCCCATTTCAGGGATATCGCACATTCCATCCGGCCAGATGCAGGCCTTAACCGTTTCCCGGCACTCTGTTTCTTGGAACAGCAACTGTGTATCACCTTGAAGCTGCTCTAATATTACAGCTCATTGTTTAAGATATAAGCTGAACTTTGGGAGACAATATTCTCCCATTCCCGCAATTTCCGTTATTTTTCCACAGGGCTACACCAGGTAGTCATGTTTCCAGGACCCACACTGCTATCTCTGCCTGGCAGGGAGATACACCAGCTTCTCTGGAGCAGGTCAGAGGATGTCTAACATGGAGCTGGCATGGCCTGAGACAAGATCTAGCTGGGTCAGAGACAGGTAGAGTTCTTACAGGGAGTTAAAATGAGCCTTGTGGCTGATGGTCCTGTGACCATTAGTAATGCAAAACAATTGATAAATCTTTTGTTACAGCATCAGTTCATCGGCAAATAGATTTTAGCCAGAGGGGAACAGTCAGATCACCTGGGTCAGAGCTACTTATTTAATTTTACTGAGATCTGCTTGGCAGAAAGCAGTGCTCCTGTTTGAGCTTTGTGTCTGGAAACCTCAAATGCCACCTCCTTCCATCCTCCTCACAGGATCCCTAAGCCTCTTATCAGGTACATCAGCGCTGAGGTCTCAGCTTGCAGCGGGGGAGGCTGTGCCATGCCTGCCTTGCTGCCTCCGTGACGTGCACGTACGCATGAACACATGTGCACGCCTCTGCGTACGAAATCCCGGGTTTTGGTGTTTCTGCAGAAAACAGAGAATTTCTCCAATCTTTTCATTCTGGCTGGGAGATGACTCCAGACCAAAGTAAGGCACAAAACCTGTCTCCCTCTCTTGTTTTTCCTTTGAGAAAAGCTGCCTCTACACATAGACACACACCGACAATGGCATGCGAATAACACGGAGCAACAATTCACTGGATATAAACGCAAAAGACTCTCGGAAAATATTGCATCAGGAATGATGCTGCCACCCAACACGAATCCTATAGAAATAACATGTCCTTGCCCAGCAAAACGCGCGTTTCAGAAGGAGTGACTTACCCAAATCACCAACGGGATCAAGTGGGATTCCTGTGAAGCCGTGCGGAGTGATCGGAGAACCTGGGTGCTTTTATAGGGTCCCTGACGGAGCTACAGAAAGGAGACACCCTTTGTGGACGTTGTCCTGATTCATCTTTGGCCAAGCCCAGCTGCACCTTCACGTCCTCAAACGGGTTATTTAACTTATCATCCCCTTACCTATCATTTTAACCCAGAAATAGCAATTGCCATGTGGCAATTTAGGCACTGCCTGGTTCCACCTAATCCAGGCTGTAAAGTTATTTTACAGCCTGATTGTATTTCAGATTTTAAAAAATCTAGAGTAGCTATAAAGTGTATATATGTGTTAATGGGAGGGTGTATTTTAATATAAATGTGCATTTGCATAGGTATGAGTTTATTTGTGTATAATACACACACAGACACAGAAAAATAGTACCAGAATGAAATCTGGAGGATGGGGACAGAAGTGCTAATGGTAGCGGAGCTCACTATGAGCAGATCAGGGACAGCTGAGATCTGTTTGGCTCATGATCTTGGTACCGTAATACCAGATTATTTTTCTTTGCTTTTTGTGCAGTTCCTTTGGCACCTCGGACCTCAGGTCAACGGGGTTTGGGTCTGGCTTTTGCTCACAGGAGGACAGAAGAAGACCTAAGCGCTATGAAAATGCTGAAATGCAGATGCACAGCAGTGAGATCCCCAAGTCTTCCAGATCTTAGCTTGTGTGGTGAGCTGCAAAATGTGTTTTATTTTCGGTAACTTCTTGTTATGGAGTCTTTTCTTTATATTATCCAGGTTTTTGTTGGGAAAAAAAAGCCCAACCATCCACAAAGAGAACATTTTTAAATGGTAAACTTTGCAAAATTAATTTTAGTACAAGAAAATGTCTGTTCAATAAGCAATGACTTCCCATTGAGAAAAATAACGCTAAAACGTTTTTCATGTTAACTGTCTTCCATGAATGACTTCCGTTGCAACTTTACTTGATCTTTAATTAAAAATAAAAGCAGAAACCTCTCTGCTGAGAGGTCGATTCATGTTGAATCTTCATCTGGTTGCCCTGGGCAGCTTTTGCTGTAATTACCTCTACAATCATCTTTTTTTTTTTTTTAATCTTTTAACAGTAAATTAATTCGAGACCAACTGATTCCTTTATTCACCCCGAACTCTCCCAGTACACGTAGGGAAGATATGAGCCGTGCCACCTGGGCTCCAGCTTTTGGTTTTGGAGGTAGGATGCTGCCTTGACAAGTGTGACGGAGACATTGCAGAGAGCCTCCAGAGCATGAACTTGTCACGCAGCCTTGGGTGAGTGGCTCATCTGGCCCATCTGTAAGGTAAGATCATACTGGGTGTAGGAGACTAATTAATTAGTGCTGGTAACACCTTGAGGATACTCATACAAGTGCGTACGAAGGATTGTTACTAACCATACTTCATTTTTGAGCTTTTTTTCAAGATTAAATTATACTTGTGCAAATTATACCCCACCTGTGGGATAATAATAGCCTTGGGAAACTGTAATTTTATGGTAGATTGGAGTTATTATTAAAATGAGAGTATTACAGTGCGGCTTGGTGTCCTGTAACAGTCTGTAATCCCCCCCGCAGGGGCTGGGACAGTGCGGGAAGGTCGGGAGCTGCGTGAGCTGCTGGGCAGAATTTGGGTATCGATGTAGGAAAAGGTACGTCGCGTTTCGGCTGTGCGCACGCCGGCACGCTCGCCTGCTTTCCCGTGCTTTGGTGCCGTTCCCAGGACAAAGCACTGAGTTTCAAAGCACGTTCTTGGCAGCACTGAACCCCCCTTTACTCCAAGCGCTTCATTTTCCCCAAAGATGCTTTCGTAAGACTTGGGTAGGTTCTTAAAAGCTATTACCCAAGAGGGTGGGCTCCATTCTCTGGCTTCTTACCCAATTCTGTGCCCAACCCCGTCGCTGTTTATATAAGGTGACCAAACTTCTGTTGCCTTTAATCTTAGAGGAACTGGCTCCTCGTGTGGTGTATAAAAGACCTTTTATCTTCCAACATCTCCCAGGCTTGCAGATCTCTAAGACAAGTATTTGTGTCAGTGGGATAATTTTCATGTTCTCCTTAAAATGAACCAAAAAAAATCCCCTCTTAACTTCAAATACGATACTCCTGATGGCAAAAGTAGTGTTATTCAGAATACTGCATATAATTAACATGTCCCTAACAGGGCTTGGTGCCTGCCTGAAATGGGAGGTCAGTTGCAAAAAGTGGCAGTTGTATAGACAGACTACGGGGAGATGGTTGGGTCTGGTGATTTTAGACCCTAAGCCAGGTCTAATAAGAAGCAAAGAGCTGTTGGACAAACCTCTAACTGAGACCTGTTTTACAAGAAAAATGGTGTTCTCTGGTACATAAAACATTTTGAGGAATGTCTCAGATAGAATGAGGTTTTGACAGATAGGTGATGAAGTTTGTCCTGACTCTCCCATTTCATGTCCACAGCCGTCACGAGGTAGGTCAGAACTTATTTTTGCTAATATGTTTTATCAGTAGTAGAGCAGACTGGTGTCCTTCATGTCCGATACATTTAATTTTGCCATTAGCAAATCATTTTCGTGATGCACGTTCTGGGGACAGTTTTGAAACGCTGGTTTTTCTGATTCAGCACTCAGTGCGTTGTGAAATTCTGGGGTGTCCCAGAGGAATGACGTTTTATTTTCCAGTGAGGTCTCTGCGTGCTCCATGTCACCGGCCACAGAGCAGGCGGTGCGGGTGCACTTGTCATGTGCTGATTTTGCTGATAGGTCGCAAGTGAAAGATAGGATGGTGAAAAACAGGCTGTGCATCACCCTCCTTGTGGGATGCTGAGTCTTGGACCTTCCTGGTGGTCCAGCACGTCTGAACCCCCTAATGAACCTCATTGACTTCACCGGACTGCTCATACCCTCAGAGTTGTCCACATTCCTATGTGCAGGTCTGGCCAAGTGCCCGAGGACCTGGTACCCTGACCTGCCTGAACTGAACCTGAGTTTGAGATGAGCTCTGTTTGTGCGCGGTTTGCATGTCAGCTTTTTATCTCCGGCCTCCCAGTTGTTGCTGGGACTGGATGTACACAAATGATCATTTTTTCCCGCGTTTAATGTATTTCCACTCCTTCCTTTGAAGATCTCCGTAGCTAATAGGGATTTTTGATATTCACGGCATGCTCCACATTCCCCTCCCTTCTGCGATTATTAATGAGTGAGGTTAAACAGGACAAATCCCTCCCATTCTGTGTTAAGCAGCTGTTTATTCTCTTCACAGCAGACATGAAAAATACCCGGAGCAGACGGATGCTGCGAGGGATCCGTTCGAGTCGACTGCGCTGTTGCGTTAATCCAGACTTCCACCCTCTCTGAAGATATCTCTCGCAGGGATGTCACATCCCTGCCCGCGGGGAGCAATCGATTCACTTCGGCTAAATTGCAAAGGCGGCTGAGCAGCAGCTCCTTTAGGCTATCCACCCCCGAGACACACCTGCTCCTCTGCAGCCACCCCTCCGTCCACACCCTGGAGCCATCTGGCTCTATGTCATGCATGGAATGGATGCTCAGGTCCTCTACACCACATCATGTCAACCCAGCTGTGTGCTCAGGGCCGGGGCCAAGGGCTCGCTTGCAGCAACACACCGGGACACCGGGACTTTTTGCCTTCAGTTTTATTAATTTGCTTACACAGTAAAAGCAGCCTAAGACAGAGGAAGAGGGAAGGTCTCTAGTCGTGCATAGCTCAGCACAAACCAGGGGTGGGAAGCCCAGGGTTAATAAGGGATAGGACAAGACACGGCAAATAGAAATGGAAAAACCAGAGTGGGACTGGACAAAATGTACCTTCTCGCAGGGGGCAACAGCCTCACTTAGGCAGGGGCTTGTTTCAGCCTTTACTGCTGTGGTGGCCACTGGTACAGAGACTGCAGGAGCTGTTGCTCTTTAGCGGGTTGTCTTTGGTGATGAGCATCTTGTTGCTGTTGTCCTGGACAAGATGGAGCCTCTGCCCCGCTGTGCTCCTGCTCCAGTACCTTGGAGTCAGGGAGCGGATGGTAAGCCAGGTCATGGCACGTTCCCTGGGGCTTGGGATCCCAACAGGGGCTTGCACCCCACTGTGGGGGCAGCAGCTTCTGGGGCTTGCCGGGCTTGGGATCCTGCTCAGTGGCCTCGCAGACCTGGGTCTTGTTGTTTGGGTCTCTTCCTCGTGTCTCAGAGGGACAATTCAGGTCCTGCTCTACTGACTCTGGGTTTGAATGCTGTTGTGGTGCCTCGGTTTCTTGGTCCTGGTCAGTTTTTGGGTCCTGTTTTGGTGTCTTATTCTCTTCAGCCTTATGGATATTTTTGCCCTGCTCAGGAGTTGCAACGTGCGGGATCTCACCTCTCTCTGGATCCCCTTCTGTCACTTCAGTCCCATCATCCTGATGGGTTTCCTGATCCTGCTCTGGTGTCTCACCCTCCTGGCTTTGATGATTGTCCTCATCCTGCTCTGATGTCTCACCCTCTTGGGTTTGATAGGTGTCCTTGTCCTGCTCTGGTGTCTCACCCTCCTGGCCTTGATGGGTGCCCTCATCCTGCTCTGATGTCTCACCTTCCTGGGCTTGATGGATGTCCTCATCCTGCTCTGGTGTCTCACCCTCCTGGCTTTGATGGGTGTCTCGGTCCTGCTTTGATGTCTCACACTCCTGGGTTTGATGGGTGTCCTGATCCTGCTCTTGTGTCTCTCCCTCCTGGATTTGATGGTTGCCTGGGTCCTGTGTCTCATTGTCTTGGACTTGATTGTTCACACCCTGCCTGGGGACCTGCTGGTTACGGGAGACCCTCTTGGCTGTGTGCAGCTCCGATGGCTGCTCCCCACCTGTCTTCTCTTGCGCTGTTGGCTCTTGACCATCTTCTGGTGCCTGATGCTTCTGGAGCGGCTTGTAACAAGCCTTGGCCACGCAGAAAACCAGGCTGAGCAACTCACTGAAGTCAACCCTGCAGTTACTGTCGTCATCCAGGAAGCACAGCACCTTCTTGACCGTTTTGGGGTCCTGGGGGTTCTGTAAAGACACAAAAAGTGTTGGCAAAGACCATGAGCCATTTGTACCATCTCTCTAGGAGCACTAAAACAAGAGCAGTCTCAGGGCAGAATCCAGCCCCGCGCTCTCATTCCCCCATGGCTCATGTTGCTCCCTGCACCAAGCTTTGCCACCTGCTGGCACTGGGAGAATGAACAACCTCTCCTCTTCCCTGCAGACCCTGGGCTTTGAAGGCATCTGTGCCTTTCCCAAGGAGATAGGTGTCCTGTACACCCACCCACACGGGAGTGCGTGGCTTTACCAACCCCACCCCACTCCCAGTCCCATCCCTGCAGCCAGAAGGCACACGGGCCCAGGTCCTCACCTCCATCGCGTCCTCGAACTCCTGCTCAATAAGCTCCCTCAGCTCCTCCCTGCTCAGGGGGCTGCAGTTGCCATCGCTTCTGGCGCACGTGTAGAAAGCAACGACGATGCCGTTGATGTTTTCCTGGAGTTGGGCCATCTCCCTGCAAAATTGAGGCAGCCTGCAAGAAAAACCCAGACAAAAAGGGCCTGCTTTGGTTTTTTGATTTACTCGGTTTTCAGATAAGTTACTCTTAAACAACACAGCTAGACAGGCAGAGAGAGAAAGAGCCAGATAAGGGCATGGTATGGTGTTTTAGAGCAAGAAGGATCTCACAGGAAAACAAATCTGAAAAATGAAACTCAGCTGATGAAGGCTGGAGAGGTGAGGGACAGTGAGAGTCAAAAGTCTGAGGGGACACAGCAAGAGAGGAGAGAAAAAGAATCCCATTTGACTTTCTCTGGAGCAGAGCAGAGCAGAGCTGTGGATGGAGGTCGTCTCTAACAAACCATGGAATAGTGTAATTCCAGATCTCTTTTATCGTTATTTTTTTCCTTTAGAAGAGCTCAGCAGCGGCAGGTGCCGAGGTCAGAAGCTCCTGCTTTCCTGCCGGTAGCAAAGTCAGACAGAGTGAAAAGTGTCCAGGCTTACCTGGGTGAGGAGCAAGAGCTCTGAGCTTCAGGAGCACAGTCTGGAGCAGATCAGCTCTTGGCCATCTTATATACAGTTCAGGATCACAGCCTGCATCTTCCAGAGGAGACACCCCTTCAGCAAGGCGACCTAAAACATCTCTTGCCCAATTACGTTGTCATGCCCCTGTCTTCACTTGTCTCTTTCTCACTAACTTCCGCTCTGATGGTTTTCTCTGGAGTTAATGCATGACCCTTCCTAAGCTCGCCCCACCTGCAGACACATTTCAGAGGAATTTAACAGAAAAGGCTATTTTTACCACTGGAGGATTTAGTTTAAGGTGATGCCCGAGCAACGCCCAGGAGTCTTGTGTTTGGCAAACACGTTTTGTGAGAAGATTCACAGTGACTGACACTCAAGGTAGAAGAACCGCCTTGGGAGTGCTTGCACGGTGAATAAAGAGAAAAGAAAAACAAAGGAAGAAAAACGGGGATATTGTGATGCCAAGATTAATGTGATTCCTTCCAGAAACTCCCTCTTCTGGATCGCGACGGGGGAGGTAGGCATCGAGCAAAGAAGTCTTTTCCAACAGTGCCACCAAGTGGCACTCGGAGTAGGACAGAGGGGTGACATGGCGTCTCCCAGAGCCAGCGAACAGCTGGGGGACTGTGGTCGTGATGGGCTGCAGTCACCCATTTACCAGAAGGGGAAACGGAGGCACATAGCAAGGAAGGGACTTAAACTCCTCGTGCTGCGTCCAGCACCAGTCCCTGCTGCAGCTCCATGTCTTGAGGGTCAGGACACCACACTGGAGCCTGGTGGGTTCACTGGGAGCCCCACAGACCTAAATGCCATTACTGCTGTTTGCTCAGGAAAGTAAATATCACATCTCCCCATGCTGTCTTGTCACCCCCCCAGCTGCTCCAGTTGCAGTGTGACATGATAAGTGTTTCCTAGGCACTTTGAATAAGACTTCTAGGTGTCCTCACCTTAGCTTTCTGGTTTTTAAAGTCCTTTTCTTGGCCAACACGTGGTTAATAAGAAAGATTGGAAAAAAAATTATATCAGAAATCCATGTAGCTTTTAAAGTACAAGGTATTTTTGGCACAGAAAAAGAAAACACATCTAGTTTTGTATTTAAAAAGGCACTTTGAGGAAAATCCCCTGGTGTGCTCTGTGCCTGGCACAGGAAAGGTTAATGGGTCCCACTTCGTTCGTGTGAAATCCTTGCAGATGTGCATGGAAGGGCTTGAAGAGGATAGTTAAGGGAGGCTGCAGGGTCAGGAGGGCTCTGCAGGCTGTCCTGTCCTTTGGTTGTGTGCTGAGTCCTCTTGAGCTCAGGGCTCCTTTTTCTCTGGCTGGTTCTGTCTGGAACAGTGTCTTTTCTTTAAGCTGAGAGGTTTCTAATAAATCACAGTTTTAATTCCAGGTGCCATCAAACGGGTCTTATGTCAGCTTGAGTGGGCAGCGCCTGAGGAGGACCCATGATTTCCTGGGCAGCACCCTTTTATTTCCATCTATTGACCTTTCTATCATACCTGCATGGAAACACATGACTTTCCCCTAACATGTGGTGTGTTTGCTGCTGACCTTCTTATTAAGTTGCAGTGAGGGTGGGGAGCAATTACTGGGGCACCTTGGAGAGGCAGCAAGTGTTCAGGATTTTCTTGCTGAAGTTATTTCTAATTAAACCACCCAGACCCTGAGCAGGGTGGTTTCTCCTCTTGCAGACAGCTGTAGACAATAAGAGGTTTGTGTTGTACAGGATTTCGTACATGCTTTATGAAGCAGAAAAGGTTAGAGGGTCAAATGATACGTGAAGAAGTCAAAAGTGCTGCAGAACAGAAAAGAGAAAAACATCACTTTTAGCAGAGCTTGCAATAAATCATGTTGAATCCAGGGAGCAGAGGGCAGGTGCTTCTGGGACCTGTGCTAAGGAAATCACATGAAACCTCAGTGGTGCTGCCTTGAGAGCTGTGAAACAGGAGGGGAAGCTTTGCACGAGCACACACCTGGTTTGCAATGATGCTTGGGGGGGTTTTGAGCAGGATTGGGATGGGAGGGGTCACTCTCTGAAAAGGTCTGGAAAGAAGCTGATCTTCCTAGGAGCTCCTCTGCAACAGAAGAGCAACATTCGTGCTGCTCTTTACCCCCAAAACTGCTCTTCTAGCAGAGCCAAATTGCTTAATACAATTAGCTTGGGATGCCTTTGGCTGAAACAAAGCTTAAGCTCCAATTTCTCTGTTTTCATCCAATACCAAAAGGAACCAGCAGCCTCCAAGGCTGTGCCCTATGTGGTTAGAGATTCCCAGGTGCCTTGAGACCTTCAAGTCATGCTGGGGAAACATCATTAGCACCACAGCCTAAATTTTGAGGCAGGAGAGGTAGTGTCTTGCTTCAGCATGAGGCATAGCTCCTTCCCCTGCGATGCCACCTGCATTTCAGAGAAGAAGGACTTTGGGAGTTTGCCTTTGAAGCAGCCAAAATGCATGTTGATTGGAGCCGGCTTTCCCAGGTGGATCTGCCATGAAGACATGGAGGTAAGATGTGTGGTGTGGTGGAGGAGGGAACAAGCCTGTGGCCCTTTGTTTACTTGGCAAATTCACTCCACGAATATTCACGAATCTCTGAGGCCTATTTGCCAAAGGAGCTCTGTTGTGTTGGGGCACCGGGCAAACCAGCTTCTCTGGATAGGCAGAGTGTGGTATTCCAGCTTAGACTGCTGGTAAAATTCTCCCTGGTTGCTTCCTTTAAGCAGTTTGATGACCTAATTTCATCTGAGTTTGTCCAGTTCACCTTTCTTTCTGTTTCTTGAGCAAAAAGATATTCTAAGCCCACTGGTCTGCACAGCTGGCATGGGTTTGGAGGAGTGATGTTCACCAGGGCTGGGTGAAGCTGGAGGTGACACCTGGCTCATGGCAGCACTGGGACTTTGGTGTGGTCGTTTGAAGGAAGATTTGTGTCAGAAGCGCAGAAAAAAAGAAAGATGGGGAAAAATCCAAGTGTGTATGGTTACGCAAGAGTTCTGAAACAATTTAGTAGCTGTTATTACCACCATGGTGATTGCTGAAGATCTACAGCTTGGGTCACGTTTAAGTTTCTCCTGCTGTATTTTAATGGGCAAAACTTTAGGTGAACCAACCTCACCTAAAATTCTTTTCTTTGAAAACATAACTAGAAAGCTGGTGCCTCTTCAGACAGCCCAGGGTTATTTTCCTCTCTTCTGCCTGAAGACCTTGTGAATCCGCAAAATTGCTCAGCTCCTTGGTTAATGGGGAGGAAAGGAAGAAGCGGATGAAGCAGGAATCGGGAGGGAAGGGAGCACAGAGAAAACATTGCCAGAAGTTGGGGTGCGTGGTGAGCGTGGGTCAGGCAACAATGGCAGGGACTGGTGTTGAGCTGGTGTTGGGTGTTAGGACTTGGGGGTATTTAAGGTTTGGGGCTTAAAGTAGTGGGATTAGGTCAGAGCAGTTGGGTTTCTCAACTGAAAAATGCAGCAGGAAATTACTGTTTATTCCTGCACGACTCTGATTGTTCCTGCTCAGCAGGGAAGGGCAGAAGCGTAGGTTAGTGCTGATGAAGGAGGGAAAGTGTTGCACTGAAGGTTCAACGTGAGAAAGCGTTTAAATACAGGTTTGGGAGAGCTGGAAAGCTTCGGGGCTCCGACGGATGGGGTTTGCTTTGGGAGGTTTTTGAAGAAGCAAATGCCTGGTCAGTGCCTGTGGTCTGCAGCTGTGGGACCCGGGGGTTTTATTTGGGTTTTTTGCCTTCCTAACATGCCTCCTTTCCCCTTTTGTTCCTGTAGTTGCCTTCTTTCTTTTCCCTGCTGAGGGCAGCTTACACTGAGGTTCAGGCTCACCTCCCTTTTCTCGCCTCGTTCCGTACATGAAGCACAATTCCTAAACTTTCCCAGGGCTGGAGCCCATTATACAGAGAGTTTTATCGCTACATCTATGTCATTATCAGGAATTAAGCTAATTGGAATAAAATGCTTTATTTTCCTATGCTGCCTTGGCATTTCAGCAAGTTATTTCTGTTGCAACCTTCTTTACTGCTAATTCGTTGTGACATTAAGCAGTGTAATACATCAGCTTTTCGCTAATACATATTTCCACTTCTTTACATGTTAATGAGCATATTTAACATATTTCTTCAGAGATAATTGGATTCTAAGACTCCCTGTGGTAATGCCCTGAAAGCCAGCTAGCAATGCCTTTACTATCTAAAAGACTCTTTCTGCATTTGAATAATCCCACAATTAAAATCGGGAATTAATCTCTTGGCTGAAACAAGGCTTTTGAGGAATACTTTCCTTGTTTTGAGACAGTTTTAATACATATGTTAACTATACTTATGGAGAAGTTAATTAAACCTTTCCTTTGCATTTGTACCCCAGAACTCACAAAGGGGTGCAGGTATCTCAGATTATCTTGTTCCTCTCACCCGTTGATCCTCCTTGCGAAGGTAGGATTTTTCTGTGCTTCATTGTCTCATTATTTATCCAGCTGGCTGTTTTAATTCGAAACCTA